GAGAGAGAGAGCTGTGTTATCAGAAGTTACTGTAAACTGTTGAATCATGGAGTTCATCTACTTTTAGTAGTTTGTTTAAATGTTTTAATGATGTTTGTTTGTAGAAGTGCATCATTCCTTGATTTATTGTAAAATGAATCTGAACTTTTTGATCTGTTATGATGATAAACTGAAGCCATTTCTAAATTAACCCAAATTAACTGAGTTTTTAATCGTCCCTACTTAGTTTATAAGGAAATTATAAGAGGAACAAATGAAATGATTTGAAAATGATATCTCTGTAGGTGGCTGACGCTGTGGTGGTTCTAGTGTTTACAGACATTTATATTAAATATGTGTTAATGGCAAATTCCATATATGATTTTCTTACCTGGAATTCTGCCTTTTTGAACAGACTGACTGAGTCCTAGCTATATTGAGTCCTAGCTATACTGAGTCCTAGCTATACTGAGTCCTAGCTATATTGAGTCCTAGCTATACTGAGTCCTAGCTATACTGAGTCCTCCTAGCTATTACTGAGTCCTAGCTATATTGAGTCCTAGCTATACTGAGTCCTAGCTATACTGAGTCTCTAGCTATAGTCCTAGCTATATTGAGGTCCTAGCTATACTGAGTCCTAGCTATACTTGAGTCCTAGCTATACTGAGTCCTAGCTATACTGAGTCCTAGCTATACTGAGTCCTAGCTATACTGAGTCCTAGCTATATTGAGTCCTAGCTATATCTGAGTCCTAGCTATACTGAGTCCGTAGCTATATGGAGTCCTAGCTATACTGAGTCCTAGCTATACTGAGTCCTAGCTATATTGAGTCCTAGCTATATTGAGTCCTAGCTATACTGAGTCCTAGCTATACTGAGTCCTAGCTATACTGAGTCCTAGCTATATTGAGTCCTAGCTATATTGAGTCCTAGCTATATTGAGTCCTAGCTATACTGAGTCCTAGCTATACTGAGTCCTAGCTATATTGAGTCCTAGCTATACTGAGTCCTAGCTATACTGAGTCCTAGCTATACTGAGTCCTAGCTATATTGAGTCCTAGCTATACTGAGTCCTAGCTATACTGAGTCCTAGCTATATTGAGTCCTAGCTATATTGAGTCCTAGCTATATTGAGTCCTAGCTATACTGAGTCCTAGCTATATTGAGTCCTAGCTATACTGAGTCCTAGCTATATTGAGTCCTAGCTATATTGAGTCCTAGCTATACTGAGTCCTAGCTATACTGAGTCCTAGCTATATTGAGTCCTAGCTATACTGAGTCCTAGCTATACTGAGTCCTAGCTATACTGAGTCCTAGCTATACTGAGTCCTAGCTATATTGAGTCCTAGCTATATTGAGTCCTAGCTATATTGAGGCCTAGCTATATTGTCTGCAGTTCTAGGGTTAATATGAATCTAATATGATTGTCATCGGTCTAAATTAGATTTCAAATGATTAACTGTGTATGTAATGAAGATCATAGTGTGGGTTAAATCCATTTTCATAACCACTGTCTTTTAACTGATTTAAATGCGGAAACTGGGCTTACTCATCAGAATTTCGTATGACTTGACTTGACTTGCTTGACCTGAGCAATGACTTGACTTGACTTGCTTGACTCTCACCACAGTGACTTGGGACTTGCTTGATACTTGTAGGTCAAGACTTGAGACTTGCTCATGACTTGCACATGTTGGACTTACTCCCACCTCTGACGATTTATTATAATAATAAATCATAATATGATAATTATGAATTATTATTGTAATACAATAATATAAATATGACAGTATAAATATGACAGTATAAATATGACAGTATACAGACGCAGAAGGATACGTCCAACAGATTGATGATGTCTCTGCAGGTCTGAAGACTGAAACCGTCTGTCTTCACATCAGACCCTGAACACACATTATTATTATTATTATTATTATTAATAATAATAAAAGCTATTATTGTTGTTGTTGTTGTTGTTGTTATTATTGTCGATGCTCTCACTCTGAGAAACCACTCTGTCCAGGATGTGTTGAAGCTCGAAGACGGAGACCTCAGAGTCCTGTAGAGAGACAGGTTATAGATAAAGATATTATAGATATAAACAGATTAGAGAAGAGACAAGAGAAAACAACACCCTGGATCTAGTTTACACCTCCATCAAGGGAGCTTACAAGGCTCCCCCCCCCATATGGGACTCTCTGATCACCTCACTGTCATGCTAAAACCAGCATACAGACCCCGAGTGAAAGTCACCAGACCAGAGAGGTACGTGTGGTCAGAGGACAGC